CCTGCCTTACCCTACAGAGTTCTTCGTCGACTTGCTTCCATTCTGAGCTGTGGCTGAGAGCACGGTCGACGTATGCGTTAACAACACTCCTCTTGTACCTGTCAGGGCAGTCGCTGTTGGCATTTAGGCACATTCCTATGTTTGTTTCCTTTGTGTAGACTGCAGTGTGGAAACCTCCGCCCTTTTCCATGACTGTTACATCTAGAAAAGGCAGCTTCCCATCCTTTTCCGTCTCGTAAGTGAAACGCAGCACGGAACTCTGCTCAAATGCCTCCTTCAGCTCCTGCAGATGTCTGACATCAGATACCTGTGTAAAAATGTCGTCAACATACCTGCAGTATATGGCCGGTTTCAAGTTCATGTCGACTAAGACTTTTTGCTCGATGGTACCCATGTAGAAGTTTGCAAACAGGACACCTAGGGGAGAACCCATAGCGACCCCATCTACTTGCTTATACATATGCCCATCCGGGCTCAAGAAGGGTGCCTCTTTAGTACAAGCTTGGAGTAGTTTCCTCAGAATACTTTCTGGCATGTCAAGAGGAGTACAGGCTGGATCACGATACACTCTGTCGGCTATCATTCCGATTGTCTCGTCCACAGGTACGTTGGTAAACAGCGATTCTACGTCCAACGAGGCTCTTATCCCTGTGGCCCGTGCGCCCCGCAGTAAGTCCACAAATTCCTTTGGAGACTTCAGGCTGAAGGCGCAAGGAACATAAGGAGTCAGCAGGCCGTTGAGTCGCTTTGCCAATCTGTACGTGGGTGTGGGTATCTGGCTAATGATTGGCCGAAGTGGGTTTCCAGGCTTGTGCGTCTTGACATTTCCATACGCATATCCAGGTTTATATTCCCCAATGATCTTTGGCAGGTGGAGTCCGGATTTCTTGGCGTTCACAGTTTCGATCAGTTTGTTGACCTTTGCTTTTAATTCGGCTGTAGTGTCCTTCGTTACCCTTTGGAACTTAGTTTGGTCAGAGAGTATGATGTTCATTTTCGCCAGATATTCGTCTTTTTTAAGAATGACATATATTGGCGACTTGTCACCTCTCCTGACAACTATCTCCTTGTTCTCACGAAGGCTTTTAGCTGCCGCTCTAAGCTCGGGGGACAGTATGGTGCTTCTGTAGTTGCCTCGATTCTTTCCTCCTTCTGCAATAAGTTCTGCTTGTAAGGTATCTTTGGTAGTGACCTTCTTTTGTGTCTCGAGGTCGAATATGTCGTCCAACAGAATTTCCAACTCCACTTTCCGGGCCATTTCACTCGGTCTGGACATAACATGACAGTTTATGCCCAGATTTAGGAGAGTGACTTGGTCCTCAGTGAGGTTAATTCCTGCAAGGTTCAGGAAGCCATCTCTTGGTCGTGGAATTGCCATAGGTCCTCCATATAATGTTGTTAGTTTCTTGATAATCCTTGTTTCAGTGCTGAGGTGATGTTGGTCTGTGAGGATGTCGAGGTGTTGTTCAATGCGGGTACGGATACTATGGTCGATGTTGCTATTTCTCCACTCGTTTGTAGCATGAAGTAGTTGCGTTTTTTTGTCTTTGATTTCATTCTCTGCCTTGTATATCTGATCACGAATCAGATCCTGGCGATATTTTATCGTGAAGGCTTGATTCCTTGCTGCTGGGTCGTGCACTTTAACATTAGTATATTTTGGTAGCAGTCTTTCCTGTAGACATATTTTATTAAATATGACCGAAAAAGTAAGATTAATAATTCTAACACGAATTTTCTCAATCTTTCGTACATTATGCTTCACTGTTGGAGGTAAATCAAAAATCACTTCTCCAAAATTCATTTTTATTTCTAGTCTGACGCGACACGGGCGCGTTTCGTAAAACTTATTACATTTTCAAAGACTTCACAAATACACAACTGATTAGAACTTGCATTTCCCTGATTTTATATCTACATTTGAGTGAGGTGGGAAGGGTGATGTGGCATTACATTTGAGTGAGGTGGGAAGGATGATGTGGCATTAGAGGATATTAATAGGCGAAACTGTGAACGCCAAGAAATCCGGACTCCACCTGCCAAAGATCATTGGGGAATATAAACCTGGATATGCGTATGGAAATGTCAAGACGCACAAGCCTGGAAACCCACTTCGGCCAATCATTAGCCAGATACCCACACCCACGTACAGATTGGCAAAGCGACTCAACGGCCTGCTGACTCCTTATGTTCCTTGCGCCTTCAGCCTGAAGTCTCCAAAGGAATTTGTGGACTTACTGCGGGGCGCACGGGCCACAGGGATAAGAGCCTCGTTGGACGTAGAATCGCTGTTTACCAACGTACCTGTGGACGAGACAATCGGAATGATAGCCGACAGAGTGTATCGTGATCCAGCCTGTACTCCTCTTGACATGCCAGAAAGTATTCTGAGGAAACTACTCCAAGCTTGTACTAAAGAGGCACCCTTCTTGAGCCCGGATGGGCATATGTATAAGCAAGTAGATGGGGTCGCTATGGGTTCTCCCCTAGGTGTCCTGTTTGCAAACTTCTACATGGGTACCATCGAGCAAAAAGTCTTAGTCGACATGAACTTGAAACCGGCCATATACTGCAGGTATGTTGACGACATTTTTACACAGGTATCTGATGTCAGACATCTGCAGGAGCTGAAGGAGGCATTTGAGCAGAGTTCCGTGCTGCGTTTCACTTACGAGACGGAAAAGGATGGGAAGCTGCCTTTTCTAGATGTAACAGTCATGGAAAAGGGCGGAGGTTTCCACACTGCAGTCTACACAAAGGAAACAAACATAGGAATGTGCCTAAATGCCAACAGCGACTGCCCTGACAGGTACAAGAGGAGTGTTGTTAACGCATACGTCGACCGTGCTCTCAGCCACAGCTCAGAATGGAAGCAAATCGACGAAGAACTCTGTAGGGTAAGGCAGGTTCTAGTCAATAACGGCTTCTCCAATGGTTTCATCGAAGACATCATAAGAAGGAAAGTGAAAAGCCATGCAACCTCCGAAGAGACAACTAACACAACACCTATACCCCCTATTAGACTATTTTACAGGAACTTCTTTTCCACAGCTCATAAAACAGAGGAAAGGGTCCTGAAAGATATTGTTAATAGAAACGTTATCCCTACAGACAAAAATCAGAGGATACAACTGACGATTTACTATAAAACCAGAAAAACGGCCAGCCTACTCATGAGAAACTCTCCAGACACGAAACAGAACGCTTTAAAAGAGACTAACGTCGTCTATGCCTTCAAATGCCCACTTGGGGACTGTAAGCTCCAAAAAACCCAGTATATAGGCAAGACAACAACATCTCTTTCTAGGCGTTTAACGATGCATAAACAACAGGGCTCCATTAAGGAACATATAATCTCTTCCCATAACCAAACCATCGCCAGAGAAATCCTAGTAAACAACACAGAAATCATCGATAGATACAGCGATAGCAGGCGGCTTGACGTTTGCGAGGCACTACACATCAAGAAGTCAACACCAGCAATCAACAGCCAATTATTGCACAACTATATTCTACCCACCTCAAGACTCCGCTCCAATATAGAAGCATCAAGAAATATGGACCAATAGGCTTTCTACAAACACTTCTATTCAATATCCATTGTTTCGTGTTCTGTCTTGTGTTGATACTTTTAATACCCTATTAATATCCTCTAATGCCACATCATCCTTCCCACCTCACTCAAATGTAATGCCACATCACCCTTCCCACCTCACTCAAATGTAGATATAAAATCAGGGAAACGCAAGTTCTAATCAGTTGTGTATTTGTGAAGTCTTTGAAAATGTAATAAGTTTTACGAAACGCGCCCGTGTCGCGTCAGACTAGAAATAAAAATGAATTTTGGAGAAGTGATTTTTGATTTACCTCCAACAGTGAAGCATAATGTACGAAAGATTGAGAAAATTCGTGTTAGAATTATTAATCTTACTTTTTCGGTCATATTTAATAAAATATGTCTACAGGAAAGACTGCTACCAAAATATACTAATATATATATATATATATATCACGAAAATAAACACGTGATTAAAAATGTGACAGTGTCAGACCACGGAGGAAAATTTAAACAGGAATTTCCTTAAGTACTTTCGTATATTAATACATCTTCAGAAGGAGTGAATTCTTCACTCCTTATATATATATATATATATATATATATATATATATATATATATATATATATATATATATATATATATATATATATATATATATACACACACACACACACACACACACACACACACATAACTTTATGAACCCTCTCGAGTCTTCACGACTGGCCGCTGCTCCACCAACAGGGCGTTTGGCGGGAACATGGAATGGACTTTGGCCTTTGTTTATGAGGACGGGCTGTACATACGATTCAAACTGATAACGTCCGAACACTTCCGGAACAAGTGCTTCACTGACGACTTTTGTTCAAACCACAACGCTGTAAATGCTTCACCCACGTACTACAAATATAAATAGTCGCCAACAGAACCTAAACACCTAACCTAACCAGTGCCTAAACATGCACAATATGCTAATATATAATAAAAATTTATATTTAAGAAAATTCCTGTTTTGAATGAACAGTATGTTAAAACTGATGAATCGGTTGGGGTCGACCGCTGGATGGAATGGACTTAGCCTCAGGACTGGTTGGTAATGCCCGCTGCAGTTTTCTCTTTAGTTGGCGCATCCTAAAGCGATTATGAACTTAGTTATGTAATCTAAAGAAGACGCAGATGAACAATGTGAGAGGAGTGAAGTTCGTGTCAGTGAGTGACCATCAACTAAAATAAATAATACCTAACAGGACAAACTATAATCAGCAAATTTTTATAAATTTTAATCTCTCATTATAATCGCAATATCTTGATAATTTTGTTATTAGTATACACAGCGGTGAGGTGTAACACACACACACACATTAAATAATGAAGGCCTTCTTTCACCTGTCTAACTTGCGTGTGTGTGTGTGTGTGCTTGACGGGCGTGTGTGTGTGCAGCGGACAACCGGTGGTGCTGTGTTGACGGGCGGTGGGCGGGCGGTCAGGGCTCCCTCTCCAGCGGCCATTGGCGGGCTGAACTCTGGAGCCAACACGCTATGGACTCCGAGGATAACCTCTTGGCTGGACGACCACGGACCAGGTAAGTCATCCAAACACACACATGCCCTGTCCCCTGCCCTGTCCCATGCCCTGCCCCCATGCCCTGTCCCATGCCCTGCCCCCATGCCCTGTCCCATGCCCTGCCCCCATGCCCTGTGCTGTAACCTGTACCCTAACATGCCCTAGGGTAGGGCATGTCAGTTCCTCATTACACTGTAGCTTTGTGTTTATGTATAAATTTATTTTATTAATATATTTACGTGAGAGATTATCTCTCGTGTATTATTTATTAAATTTCGATATTAGTCAACTGGCTTTCAGGGCGAGTGGAAATGTTCTTACCCGGGGGTCACGACCCCTGTTGTCTTAGTAACAATACCTTACCCGGGGGTCACGACCCCTGTTGTCTTAGTAACAATACCTTACCCGGGGGTCACGACCCCTGTTGTCTTAGTAACAATACCTTACCCGGGGGTCACGACCCCTGTTGTCTTAGTAACAATACCTTACCCGGGGGTCACGACCCCTGTTGTCTTAGTAACAATACCTTACCCGGGGGTCACGACCCCTGTTGTCTTAGTAACAATACCTTACCCGGGGGTCACGACCCCTGTTGTCTTAGTAACAATACCTTACCCGGGGGTCACGACCCCTGTTGTCTTAGTAACAATACCTTACCCGGGGGTCACGACCCCTGTTGTCTTAGTAACATTAACGTGCAGTAAGCCGCACATAAACCATCATCTTCTTGGTCAATACCATAAAGTAACTCCTTCGTCTGGCAGCCATTTTGTAAGATGGTTCTCATTGCCGTCCAGAGGTATAATAATTATCCTACATATCCAGACCTGTTTACAATATATTGATCTCTTTCTGTGCAACATGTGATGCTTATTTCACAAAATGCACCTAAGATTAGCTTTGTTGCACCACCGTTAGTGATATAAACACTTGCTTACTGGCGGTCTCTCTTGTGTGTTTTACAGGGTAGAGTTCGACGGGTTGTGGGTGCCGGCGCCCGCCAGCCCCGGCCAGTACGTAAGGAACCGCTACGGGGTTGAGGTCTTCCGACACGCTCAACACTGGCTGGATACAGGTACATGTGCTCACCGGAGTGTACTACTTGCATGGTGCAACTGTTAGTGCGATATACTTAGAATACAACAGCCTACAACAACTATAGTTCCTTCATCAACGTCTCCGAAAATTTGAGTTCTGAGTCTTCATGCTTCTCCTCTTAGCTTTTTTGTTTTTTGATGCATTCGAGTTCTGTATTATATTTTCTCTCGAAGTCGCGGATGGAGGTGGCTTCGATGACTTATTCTTTCAGTGCACTCAACTTGTTGGCAGCCATTACAGCACATGACCAATTATTTAGGTTCTTAGACTGATTTGGCTACATAGCCTTCCCGGTTTGGTGCCTTCTATTGATAATTACTTAGACATTTGTGTTCCCTTCTTCCACCGTTGTCCTCTTGTCGTATTCTCTTAGAATTCAGAGAAACTGTTCTAGGCCTTTTTGTCTATTTCCCTAAGTATTTTGTATGCAGTGATCATATATCCTCTGCTTCTCCTCTCTTGCTTTGGTAGATTTAGCGCCCTTAACCTGTCCCCGTAATACAGTTCTCTTAATTCAGCCACTAATATCGCTCCAAACCTCTGTACTTTTTAATTTTTTGTTTGTGCTTCACGAGAAACGGTTTTTGTGCTAGCGCTGCGTGTCCTAGCATTGGTCTCACATAGGTTTAAATTGTCTTGAAAAGGTGGTTGAATCCGATGGCTTTGTGCCCTCGTTTTTGTTATTGAATTTTAAAATAATGTAGTGGGATCCCTATAACTAGTTTATTAGCTGTTTATTTTATCGCTTTATGATCAGGAATGTTTGTTCCGGCATATCTCTGTCTGTCTGTCTGTCTGTCTGTCTGTCTGTCTGTCTGTCTGTCTGTCTGTCTGTCTGTCTGTCTGTCTGTCTGTCTGTCTGTCTCTCTCTCTCTCTCTCTCTCTCTCTCTCTCTCTCTCTCTCTCTCTCTCTCTCTCTCTCTCTCTCTCTCTCTCTCTCTCTCTCTCTCTCTCTCTCTCTCTCTCTCTCTCCCCTGCACGTGTGTGTGTGTGTGTGTCATTTAAGGAAGACTGTTAAGCACATAAGTTCCTCAATGTATGGTTCTGGAGATTGTGTTTGGTGTTGGGCTTAAAGCCTATCAACCTCAGGAGGGTTCTTAAGGCCGTAACAACAGCTTGTTAAGCAGCCCGCAAGTATACTTTAGTCGTGAACGTCGGTCATGATTTAAGTCACCTCGGTGCATAGTCTCCGAGACGCAGGGGACGTCTCCCATCTGTATGTTCCTTGTCCTCCTCGCAGGGTTCGAATCCGCCTTGGCAGTCGACTGTTATTTACTAGAGCAAGAAAGTCTTGTGAAGTCATGTAAGACTGCAGTATTTAGTTATGTTTCTGTGATGCCAATTTTCCCTGTCTGTTCTTACCTTCATTTCTCTAACAATATGAAAATATCAAATATATATATATTATCTTTATGTTGATCTTACCTTCCGCTTCCCTTCTTGAGTACCAGCACCTACACCCACACGTCCTACACTGAGTAGCTCCAGCACCAACACCCACACGTCCTACACTGAGTAGCTCCAGCACCAACACCCACACATCCTACACTGAGTAGCTCCAGCACCTACACCCACACGTCCTACACTGAGCACCACCAACACCTACACCCACACGTCCTACACTGAGCACCACCAACACCTACACCCACACGTCCTACACTGAGCACCACCAACACCTACACCCACACGTCCTACACTGAGTAGCTCCAGCACCTACACCCACACGTCCTACACTGAGCACCACCAACACCTACACCCACACGTCCTACACTGAGCACCACCAACACCTACACCCACACGTCCTACACTGAGCACCACCAACACCTACACCCACACGTCCTACACTGAGTAGCTCCAGCACCTACACCCACACGTCCTACACTGAGCACCACCAGCACCAACACCCACACGTCCTACACTGAGCACCACCAGCACCTACACCCACACGTCCTACACTGAGTAGCTCCAGCACCTACACTTACACGTCCTACACTGAGTACCACCAGCACCTACACCCACACGTCCTACACTGAGCACCACCAGCACCAACACCCACACGTCCTACACTGAGAACCACCAGCACCTACACCCACACGTCCTACACTGAGCACCACCAGCACCAACACCCACACGTCCTACACTGAGCACCACCAGCACCAACACCCACACGTCCTACACTGAGCACCACCAACACCTACACCCACACGTCCTACACTGAGCACCACCAACACCTACACCCACACGTCCTACACTGAGCACCACCAGCACCAACACCCACACGTCCTACACTGAGCACCACCAGCACCTACACCCACACGTCCTACACTGAGCACCACCAGCACCTACACCCACACGTCCTACACCGAGCACCACCAGCACCAACACCCACACGTCCTACACTGAGCACCACCAGCACCAACACCCACACGTCCTACACTGAGCACCACCAACACCTACACCCACACGTCCTACACTGAGCACCACCAACACCTACACCCACACGTCCTACACTGAGTAGCTCCAGCACCTACACCCACACGTCCTACACTGAGCACCACCAGCACCAACACCCACACGTCCTACACTGAGCACCACCAGCACCTACACCCACACGTCCTACACTGAGTAGCTCCAGCACCTACACTTACACGTCCTACACTGAGTACCACCAGCACCTACACCCACACGTCCTACACTGAGCACCACCAGCACCAACACCCACACGTCCTACACTGAGTACCACCAGCACCTACACCCACACGTCCTACACTGAGCACCACCAGCACCAACACCCACACGTCCTACACTGAGCACCACCAGCACCAACACCCACACGTCCTACACTGAGCACCACCAACACCTACACCCACACGTCCTACACTGAGCACCACCAACACCTACACCCACACGTCCTACACTGAGCACCACCAGCACCAACACCCACACGTCCTACACTGAGCACCACCAGCACCTACATCCACACGTCCTACACTGAGCACCACCAGCACCTACACCCACACGTCCTACACTGAGCACCACCAGCACCAACACCCACACGTCCTACACTGAGCACCACCAGCACCAACACCCACACGTCCTACACTGAGCACCACCAACACCTACACCCACACGTCCTACACTGAGCACCACCAACACCTACACCCACACGTCCTACACTGAGCACCACCAGCACCAACACCCACACGTCCTACACTGAGCACCACCAGCACCAACACGTCCTACACTGAGCACCACCAGCACCTACACCCACACGTCCTACACTGAGTACCACCAGCACCAACACCCACACGTCCTACACTGAGCACCACCAGCACCAACACCCATACGTCCTACACTGAGTACCACCAGCACCAACACCCATACGTCCTACACTGAGTACCACCAGCACCAACACCCACACGTCCTACACTGAGTACCACCAGCACCAACACCCATACGTCCTACACTGAGCACCACCACCCATACGTCCTACACTGAGTACCACCAGCACCAACACCCATACGTCCTACACTGAGTACCACCAGCACCAACACCCACACGTCCTACAATGAGCACCACCAGCACCTACACCCACACGTCCTACACTGAGCACCACCAGCACCAACACCCACACGTCCTACACTGAGCACCACCAGCACCAACACCCACACGTCCTACACTGAGCACCACCAGCACCTACACCCACACGTCCTACACTGAGTACCACCAGCACCAACACTCACACGTCCTACACTGAGTACCACCAGCACCAACACCCACACGTCCTACAATGAGCACCACCAGCACCTACACCCACACGTCCTACACTGAGCACCACCAGCACCTACACCCACACGTCCTACACTGAGCACCACCAGCACCAACACTCACACGTCCTACACTGAGCACCACCAGCACCTACACCCACACGTCCTACACTGAGTACCACCAGCACCAACACCCACACGTCCTACACTGAGCACCACCAGCACCTACACTGAGTACCACCAGCACCAACACCCACACGTCCTACACTGAGTACCACGAGCACCAACACCCACACGTCCTACACTGAGTACCATCAGCACCAACACCCACACGTCCTACACTGAGCACCACCAGCACCAACACTCACACGTCCTACACTGAGCACCACCAGCACCAACACCCACACGTCCTACACTGAGTACCACCAACACCTACACTCACATGTCCTACACTGAGTACCACCAACACCCACACGTCCTACACTGAGTACCACCAACACCTACACCCACACGTCCTACACTGAGCACCACCAGCACCAACACCCACACGTCCTACACTGAGTACCACCAACACCTACACCCACACGTCCTACACTGAGCACCACCAACACCTACACCCACACGTCCTACACTGAGTACCACCAACACCTACACCCACACGTCCTACACTGAGCACCACCAACACCTACACCCACACGTCCTACACTGAGTACCACCAACACCTACACGTCCTACACTGAGCACCACCAACACCTACACCCACACGTCCTACACTGAGCACCACCAGCACCTACACCCACACGTCCTACACTGAGAACCACCAGCACCAACACCCACACGTCCTACACTGAGCACCACCAGCACCAACACCCACACGTCCTACACTGAGAACCACCAGCACCTACACTCACACGTCCTACACTGAGTACCACCAGCACCCACACGTCCTACACTGAGCACCACCAACACCTACACCCACACGTCCTACACTGAGCACCACCAGCACCAACACCCACACGTCCTACACTGAGTACCACCAACACCAACACCCACACGTCCTACACTGAGAACCACCAGCACCTACACCCACACGTCCTACACTGAGCACCACCAGCACCAACACCCACACGTCCTACACTGAGAACCACCAGCACCTACACCCACACGTCCTACACTGAGCACCACCAGCACCAACACCCACACGTCCTACACTGAGCACCACCAACACCAACACGTCCTACACTGAGCACCACCAGCACCAACACGTCCTACACTGAGCACCACCAACACCTACTCCCACGCTAAGGTTGCTGCACCAACAGGTCGCAACTCGGGCTGGGAGGAGTACGAGGCTGGGAAGTTCCTGCCCTGTGGCCGGCCCGGTCACCACGCCTGTCTCGACACCCACGTCCCAGACGGTAACCTCAAGCTCCACCCACTCTGTGTTACCTAACTCACCGCTGGGGTGCCCGGAGCGGCTCCACCCACTCTGTGTTACCTAACTCACCGCTGGGGTGCCCGGAGCGGCTCCACCCACTCTGTGTTACCTAACTCACCGCTGGGGTGCCCGGAGCGGCTCCACCCACTCTGTGTTACCTAACTCACCGCTGGAGTGCCCGGAGCGGCTCCTCCGCCACCTTGCTCCACTAACCTGCAACACTAACTCAGCCGTTAAGTGCCCGAAGGTAACCCCCTTGCCACTCGCCGCTACGCCACTGGAACATACGCCACAGAGTTCCGTAGGGAGCGTTGCTTCCTCAGACACTAAGGCAGTTTTATACCCTGGTGTCTTGACGCCCACTAGCAATACATGCCTGGGGCAAACATGGTGTTTCCATTTACAAAATCAACCAGTATTGAACGTGTCATTAGACTGTATCGACCCAGGTTGGTAGCGAGACTAACACGGGTATGATGCCCTCCGCCCTCCGCCTCTACAACCGTTCCTCAGTGCTTTATAAACAAGCCACAAATTCTGCTCGCATTTGTGACCTTTATTCTATTAAATCTATTATTATTATTATTCTGATATTTGGCAGAACTAATCCGAACATTGTATGCTTCCGCTCTTATTTTCTCTCCAGGTATTTGTAAGGGGAACTAGTTAAGTGTGTTCTAACTCCGCCCTCTATATTTCTAGATAAGATAGTAACCAGTTTTAGCATTCATGAAGCATTTATGCAGCCACTTACGAAAGCTCTACATCTTTCCTTCATTATGGCGGCTTTCTTTTTACATCTGCTAAATAACTGACAAGCTTCAAAACTTAACAACCCAACGTTATTGTTGTTATAAACAACCTCGGGGCGCTCCGGCGCTCATATACTGTTTAATAACTGTAAACAAAGCCGCCAACTGGGGAGAAAAGATGAACAGGTTTCGCAAGTGTTCACGGAAATAACGAACACTTGACGACTATCTGTTTGTGGGTTTCTAATTACTCCTCCCGTGTTAATCTTAGAGAATTAGAGTACAAGAAGACTTCGATGTACACATTGGTCTTGTATATCCCCTGTAAGGGTAGAGAAACACAGGTGTAGACCATTAAGATATACCTTAGAATACAACAGCCTACAACAACTATAGTTCCTTCAGCTTTTTCTGATCCCTTTTTGCATCAGCAAGAACTTACAAAAAAGCCATAGGGACCAGTATCGCCAATATTCCTAAATATGTAGGCAACATAGTCAGCCTTAGTTAACCCTTCCTTGTGTATCTTCCACTAGTAATAGGGCTGTGATAGCACTAATAGCAGGGCTGTAGACAGGACTAGCAGTAGGGGCTGCTGATAGCACTACCAGTAGGACTGTAAAAAGCACTAGCAATAGGGCTGTAGATAGCACTAATAGTAAGGCTGTAGATAACAGTAGGGCTGCAGGAGGCCACTAGCAGTAGGGCTGCAGGAGGCCACTAGCAGTAGGGCTGCAGGAGGCCACTAGCAGTAGGGCTGCAGGAGGCCACTAGCAGTAGGGCTGCAGGAGGCCACTAGCAGTAGGGCTGCAGGAGGCCACTAGCAGTAGGGCTGCAGGAGGCCACTAGCAGTAGAGCTGCAGGAGGCCACTAGCAGTAGGGCTGCAGGAGGCCACTAGAGATGTGCATACCGTCCACACATTAACTACCCCGTCTTAATTCCCAAAGCAATAAACGCGATAATTTTGAGCCTGGTATTGGGGAATTTGTGAACGATTCGAACCAGGACCTTACGCACTAGGCTAGTGTCAGGTGCTGGCCGCCCTCCTATGCTATGCCCATCGACATCGTCAATAAGACTTTATGTTTCCAGACGAATCACTCTTCAGAGTGTAAATTAACTAGGCGCCAATCTCTTGTTGATGCTTTCATTTGCCACAAGAGAATTTTGTGATCAGTTTAGATATTTGAACGAGACGGTCACGTCAGAGATAAGCTAGCCTAGCGCAGGAAACATGAACTCTCTGTTATTAAAATCGCATTTTATGAGGAACGTCTCATGTATTTGATTCTTATATCGCCTTATTTTCTTAGTAATAAGGTTAATAGATGTCGTAGTAGGGGTTTCTGAATAAAGGAGCCATATAATAACTCATTTCTATTATGTAACAGAAACTTCCCCTCCTCCTCACCCCACAAATATTGATTTGACCTTACCATATATAAATGGTTAGGAGACGACAAAATATACGTTAGTGTTTTTGTGTGTGGGAAGTTAAGCGACGCTGTGAGAGTCCGGTGCTGCTCCTTCACAGCCTGGTACTCACTCCCTCACAGGGTGTACACGCCCCCCCCCCCACAGCCCTCGGGGTGTACACGCCCCCCCCCCCTCACAGCCCTCGGGGTGTACACGCCCCCCCCACAGCCCTCGGGGTGTACACGCCCCCCCCCCACAGCCCTCGGGGTGTACACGCCCCCCCCTCACAGCCCTCGGGGTGTACACGCCCCCCCCTCACTACAAGTAGTACAGGTGTACAGGTGCCAAAGCTAGACTTAACAATTCTAAAATATGAGGACACCCTGCAGGGGAGACCTGCAGTAATCTAGTGCATTAAACAAAATAGCTGTTAGAAGTTAGTTACCGGGTGACTATGGGGCCCCGCACCTTAGTTATTTGCGAGGAACACAGAACCTCGTTCGCCAACACTTCCATTTCCTCTTAGAGATATTGAAAGCCTTGGTTTTACGAGGGCGTAATACTTGTCCTTCTCATGTAGTTGGTACCGTAGTTAGGCTGCTAAACGCGCGGGGACTGGGATTGGTGGCAGCCAGGCGTAGTGTGGTGCTCCGGGAGGTGTGGCAGGCCCCAGGCTCCAGCCCTGTGGCAGGCCCCAGGCTCCAACCCTGTGGCAGGCCCCAGGCTCCAGCCCTGTGGCAGGCCCCAGGCTCCAGCCCTGTGGCAGGCCCCAGGCTCCAGCCCTGTGACAGACCCCAGGCTCCAGTCCTGTGGCAGGCCCCAGGCTCCAGCCCTGTGGCAGGCCCCAGGCTCCAGCCCTGTGGCAGACCCCAGGCTCCAGCCCTGTGGCAGACCCCAGGTTCCAGCCCTGTGGCAGACCCCAGGCTCCAGCCCTGTGGCAGGCCCCAGGCTCCAGCCCTGTGGCAGGCCCCATCCTCCAGCCCTGTGGCAGGCCCCAGGCTCCAGCCCTGTGGCAGACCCCAGGCTCCAGCCCTGTGGCAGGCCCCAGGCTCCAGCCCTGTGGCAGGCCCCAGGCTCCAGCCCTGTGGCAGACCCCAGGCTCCAGCCCTGTGGCAGGCCCCAGGCTCCAGCCCTGTGGCAGACCCCAGGCTCCAGCCCTGTGGCAGGCCCCAGGCTCCAGCCCTGTGGCAGACCCCAGGCTCCAGCCCTGTGGCAGGCCCCAGGCTCCAGCCCTGTGGCATGCCCCAGGCTCCAGCCCTGTGGCAGGCCCCAGGCTCCAGCCCTGTGGCAGGCCCCAGGCTCCAGCCCTGTGGCAGACCCCAGGCTCCAGCCCTGTGGCAGACCCCAGGCTCCAGCCCTGTGGCAGACCCCAGGCTCCAGCCCTGTGGCAGACCCCAGGCTCCAGTCCTGTGGCAGACCCCAGGCTCCAGTCCTGTGGCAGGCCCCAGGCTCCAGCCCTGTGGCAGGCCCCAGGCTCCAGTCCTGTGGCAGGCCCCAGGCTCCAGCCCTGTGGCAGGCCCCAGGCTCCAGTCCTGTGGCAGGCCCCAGGCTCCGCCACTCCCACCACCGTCTTCATATTGAATAAGGAAACCAGTATGCATACCATATTGATTGCAACATGTCTGATCTTATCAATACATTAGTGCTGCCTCAAACGTTAAGAGTAGAGAACAGATTTATTAAAGTGATTTACGAAAATAGATTGTAGTTTATATCAACAGAGATAACTTAAACGTAATCATATATTTAAATAATAGAATGTAATTAGTGAAAACTTTAAATTATAAAAACAGAACAATACAGCTATAATTCAGGAGGTAATGGACGCTTGGAATGCGACATCAACAATTGAGAACTTCGTATTCAGTGTTGATTATGAAACGCAAGCAGCGACCTGTGTGCAAAACTAAGAAATTGTCTTTCAGGGGCAGAGTCAAGAGTGCCTATCAAAACAACGCCTGACAACATATCTTAACCCCACAACGGCCGCTGTGTCTCCCCCCAGCACTTATGAGAACACATGTACGTGTCTCATAATGAGTTTTGATGAGGTGTATTGAATGAGTAATGCGCACACAGCATCATACCAGATTCGTATTGAGTTAGTTACTGATAGTGCCACAGTAATATATATTATATATATATAATATATATATTATGAGAAAATGATATAATGACACAATATAGTACATGTTCCCTGTACAATGTATGAACATGTAAGACGCTATGTAGTACCTAAGACAAATACTGTAGAGTAATGACCGTTGTTAGTTGTTATGTGATTGTAACTTAGATTCTTATTTAGAGTGATAACTTTAAATGAACGCAATACTTTATTAAGCAAGATAACAAACCTTCACATGAATTTAGATATCTGCGTCTCGGGGGCAGAGGTCGCTTGGGATCTGTTACATTTAGACATTTTGATGTCTAAATCTTCAGAAACTTGGCTTCAGACTACGCTCGTCCCCTCCGGCGGCCGACCCCCAATGACACATTCATGAATGCTAATATACTTCCAATTTTAAAATACAAATTTGTTAAATCTTTTTTTTTTAAGATTCCAGTAAAGTATTCTGAGAATCATCAGGCACATATTATATCCTCAAAGGGCTCACTTGCACATTTTTTCTGATACTATCAGAGACCTAATAAAAATCTAATTTTATTAAGAAATAATATGTTCATGCATAATATGTTCATCTACTCATGCATGTATAATATGTTCAACATATTTCATGAACATTCATGACATTCATTCATGCATAATATGTTCATAATATGTTCATCTAGTCGCAAGATAAGTTAACAGTCAATGCCTCAGCTTGTACGGATGTACCGTCAACTATGGGAGCTGCTAAACACTGACCTTTGTAGACTTAATTGTGAATGAAGGAAATGTTGAAGACGCGTGTCCTGGGAGTCGATCCCCGCAGTCTCCTGCCTCACCAAGTCCTCACCTTCACTTGAAGAAACAATTCACAAACGAACGATATCCTTCTGCCTGAAAGGAAATCACTCATCCAGCCAATACCATAAGCACTTTTCTTTCAGACATTTCCTTATCACTGGCTACTTAAACTCTGCTAGAAATACCAACTTAAGTGTAAGAAAGTACAACTTAAGAATGAGTCACGAGTGAGAGGTCTGCAAGACAGTGTAACACCTGGGGGCCAGATTCACGAAAGCACTTACGAATCAGTACATCTTTTCTCAATCTTTGGCGGCTTTGTTTCCAATTATTAAACAGTTAATGAGCTCCGAAGCACCAGGAGGCTGTTTATAACAATAACAACAGTTGATTGGGAAGTTTTCATGCTTGTAAACTGTTTAATAAATGTAACCAAAGCGTCAAAGATTGATGAAAGATGTACACGTTCGTAAGTGCTTTCGTGAATCTGGCCCCAGAGCAGTAGAGGAAGCAGAAGACCCACCAACTGAGTACTTCACATTAGTAAGGAATTACACTCGCAAAGACATGGCATTTTACATCCAGCTATTTGTTATGTCTTTCCTTATATCATGTAGTGATTCAATGTCGGGACATTGTTAAAAATATTATATTTGATATATTCCTGTTTCTCAGTATGACGTCACTCTGGCAGTATTATAGGGTTTAATTATGTATTATAATCAGTAATAAACTATAATTATTGCGTTTTTCTTTACAAATATTTCAACATTTATATATAAACTCAGTAATAATTTTGCAAACATCTTGTGAAATGAAGTTTGTAATTTGTATAAATGAATACATTTATGAATAATTTTCGATTCAATTAACTTCAGTTAAACTATTCCCATTTGTACATAACGAATTTTACCATATCATAGAATGTCCATTACATTATAACATTATATAAATATTAGTCATTGTATATTTTTCAGTATTCCTCATTGTACATTTTGTTTACAGTCTTGTCGATGAAAATTACATGTAATAATAATCGGTAATAATATGTATGTGTGGTAATACATATCATTGTAAGCAGGCGACGAGTCACAATAACGTGGCTAAAAGTATGTTGACCAGACCACACACACTAGAAGGTGAAGGGACGACGTTTCGGTCCTGGACCATTTTCAAGTCGATGGACGGAGAATGGTCCAGGACGGACCGAAACGTCGTCGTCCTTTCACCTTCTAGTGTGTGGTCTGGTCAACATACTGGTGTGTGTTCTTGTTCATCACTACACACTCTCCTGTTCATCACCCTACACTCACACTTTTCTTCGTACACGTTTCATATATATTTTCCGTCCAAGAGTCAGTGCTGAGGTAGCCTAGGTAGAGTTTGTGTTGAGTTTTATCTTTGTTTCATCAAAAGTGTTAAATTCTAAGTAATATCGGGTACATTGTGTTAAATTCTAAGTAATATCGGGTACATTGTGTTAAATTCTAAGTAATATCGGGTACATTGTGTTAAATTCTAAGTAATATCGGGTACATTGTGTTAAATTATAAGTAATATCGGGTACTTTGTGTTAAATTCTAAGTAATATCGGGTACTTTGTGTTAAATTCTAAGTAATATCGGGTACTTTGTGTTAAATTCTAAGTAATATCGGGTACTTTGTGTTAAATTCTAAGTAATATCGGGTACATTGTGTTAAATTCTAAGTAATATCGGGTACATTGTGTTAAATTCTAATTAATATCGGGTACATTGTGTTAAATTCTAAGTAATATCGGGTACATTGTGTTAAATTCTAAGTAATATCGGGTACATTGTGTTAAATTCTAAGTAATATCGGGTACATTGTGTTAAATTATAAGTAATATCGGGTACTTTGTGTTAAATTCTAAGTAATATCGGGTACTTTGTGTTAAATTCTAAGTAATATCGGGTACTTTGTGTTAAATTCTAAGTAATATCGGGTACTTTGTGTTAAATTCTAAGTAATATCGGGTACATTGTGTTAAATTATAAGTAATATCGGGTACTTTGTGTTAAATTCTAAGTAATATCGTGTACATTGTGTTAAATTCTAAGTAATATCATGTACATTGTGTTAAATTCTAAGTAATATCGTGTACAGTAGGTTAGATTGTTAATAATATCATGTACATTATGTTAAAAGTTTGTTCTAAATAATAAATAATATTGTTACTGTCCTTCTTTCAGCACTATCATAAAAGTGAGAGATGTTAACTC